GCGTCCCTCCGCGCATCAATTTAAATTCCTGTTGGTGAGTCTCAGCGTCCACCGCGCACCCTTCTACCTCCCCTTCTTGACAATTTAAATTCCTGTTGGTGAGTCTCAGCATCCACCGCGCACCCTTCTATTCCCCTTCTTGACAATTTAAATTTCCTGTTGGTGAGTCTCAGCGTCCACCGCGCACCCTTCTATCCCCATTCTTGGAGCGTAACCGCGTCCCTCCGCGCATCTTTTTCTAGTTATGACAAGTTGCTTTTCTTGACTGTTTTGGTTAATAATTGTGCTTTATCATTCATTTTTGTATTTCATGTTTAGAAGTTCTGAGAGCTCAGACTTTTTAGACTTTGCAAAGATCACAGATGGTCAATGCACATATTTCATTGTGATTCATTGGTTTTTGAACTACGTTTGACCTGATTCCCATGGTGGGATACGTAGGCAACTCTACATGAGTTCGGTCACGTGTTTTGTAATTTCGTTGTATCTTGTATTCAATAATCTCAGCCAAGTGTTGGTTTGTTTGTTTTAACTCAGATGCAGTTAGAAGAGATAGGTAAGCATTTTGGTGTCTACGTCTTTGTCTTGAATTTCCCTGAAACTCTAGACAAAGAGGGGCAAGCTGTAGACACCAAAATTTTGTTAAAATTTTAATGTTTTTCTTGAATACTTTTTATTGAATTATTTATTTTCTTACATTTATATATATATGTATTTCCAGGTTTGTTTCTTAAAAAAAAAAAGAAGAAAAAAAGATAAGAGGAAGTGGCGTTGGCCATCATGATGTTTAGATATCATGATGGCCACCAAATTTTGCTTTGACCAAGCTTTGGCAGACACATTTCCAGTAACGAATGGAAAAAGGAATGAAAAAGGCAAAAAGAAAAAGCAAAAGAAGAAGGAAAAGGAGCTTTTGGCTTCTATTATTGGCACTTTCTCTTGGACGAGATAAAGGGGGGGAGAATAGGTAAAAAAAAGAGGAAGGAAAGCAACGGATCCAAGATAAAAGGGACAAGAAGCAAGAGACTGGAGAGGGCGGCGAAAGAAAATTTCTGCTTCGTGTCCAACATTCCAGGCACAAGCTCCTAATTTTCCTCACATTGATTCAGTCCCCAACTACTTGCAGGTAACGAATACCTCTTAAGTTTGCCCATTTAACATTTTTTATAAGATTTTGTTGAAGCATTGCATGAATTTTCTTCGATGATACATGTATCTGTTAGTTTTTTCATTTTTGCGATCTTTATTGCTTCAAAGATTTGGGTTTTGATGGCTACAGATTTACTAAAAGAGTATTAGAGATGGTTAGATGTTAGTTTTAATATTATAACCACAGAGTTTTTGCTTCTTGGGGGTTCTAGGTCCGATCTCTTCCAAAAGCCAAAGCCATTTGCTGTTTGTTGTTTTTCCTCAAACTAAATCCTCCGTGTTTGATCTTTCAAAGTGTGCACCATAGCTTAAGATTATGTAAATTAAATGGGTGGAAGTTTTGTTGGTCTTAGATTGATAAACTAGTGGGTTTTACTTGAGTTTTTTTTTATTGCATTAACATACGTGGGTGGAATAAGAAAGAATGTTGCAGCAAACCCAGAAGGTTGCAGAAGAATTGTTGCATAGAATTTGCTGCGTCTATTCTTGTTTTGTATCTTTTGGATGGTTCACTTTAGTTTAGATTTTGGTTGAGTTTTGATGATTAGAGTTGCAAGTCATGTAGTTTTAGTTTGAATGTTTAATGTTTGATGTTTGACTGGATTTTGGTTGCTTGCATCTGACATAAATGCTACGCAAAGCAAGGTTGCAGAAAGCTTCTGAATTTGAGAAGAAGAACGCAGCTTTGCATGGGAAATTTTAGCCAATTTCACTTTAACCCCTCAAGTCTCTCCTTGTTTCACTAAAGCCCAAAAACTTCTGCAAATCAATCATGTTTACCCCTTTCAAGCTTAAATCTTTTTTTTTATGTTTTAATTGTGCTTTTAGTTAATTAATTCTGGATTTTGGAATGAAATTAAACTTTAACATTTTTTAGTTCAACTATTAGTTTGTTGGGTTTTGGTAAAATGAAAGGGGAATCGGATTTGGCTATTTGTTTGGGTTACTTGGATTTGGGTTAGGTTTTTTTTTTCATTTGGGTTTGTCCTGGGCTGAAGGGTTAAGGCCCATCAGCTGGTTGATTTATTCTTGAGGTTAGAATAGTGGACTGGCTCTTTCCTTTTGCTTTGGATTTCGGTTGGGCTTAGGTAGTTTTTAGCCCAGAAATAAATAAAATGATGGCCCAGTGGCCTGATTTGTTAAGGAATAAGAAAATGTTTTCGCATATCAGTCCCTGTACTTTCAAGTACTTTCACTGCGGCCCAGAACATTTAAATTCCTTTCAACTCGGTCCTTAAATTAATTTCATTTTGGTCCTTGAATTTTATCTTTTATTTAATTTTGACCCCTGAACTTTGAAAAATATAATTTTTATCCCCCAAAAGTTTTCAATTTTTGCAATTCAGTCCTTAGCAAATTTTGGCTCTCTTTATTATGATTGTTTCTTTTTTAACTAATTATGTTACTTTTGAATATGTTCAACTTGTAATTTTAGATGTTTTAAATTTCTTTATGTTTGACATATTAGTGTGAATTTAGTACTTTTATTATTATTATTATTTTCAATTAAAGTGGTGCCATAATTCTTTTGTTCATTGTGAGTATAAATAGGACAATTTGACTCCATTTAGTCACCACTTCAAACGGGAGGTACCCCTATTTTTATTATTTCAATGTCAATTACGTGCTCTTATGTGCTTCTATGTGTTCCTATGTGTTTATGTATTTTTATATGCTTTATTTATTTGATTCAAATATTCATTCAAATTTTCTTATATACGTTTTAGTTAATTTTTATAATGATTCGAGAGGTATTTAAATACCTCAAAAATGTAATAGATAGGATAATTAGATTTGTTTTATTATATTTTTCCCTCCTAGATTGTAGTCAGGCGCTCCCCGATGTAATAGATAAGTTGTGTGTTTATGTGGCTTATGTGTTATGTGTTTTATCCGCTTTTCTTAGGACTTTGGCATATAGATATTATGCTTACGTGTTATGTGTTACGTGCTCTTATGTGTTTATTTGTTTTAATTTATGCTTTATTTGCTTCACTATATATTGTTAATGCATAACGTCACCACACTAGTCCAACGCTAGTTGTGGCTTCTCCCTCCGCTTACTTGCTAGTCCAACGCTAGTAAGTATTTTTAGAAATGGGTTAGTCCAACGCTATACCCTTAGATTGTTCATGCATTAGATTCATCTTTTGTGTGATATCCATTACATTTCCATGTATATTTTATTTTTTAGAATTTTCTCATTTGCATGATATTTTCTATTATATTATCCTCTACCCCCTACCCTCTATATGTGTTAATCAAATCATTTAGAATTGCACTTCATTTAAGAAATTGTGAAATAAGTTAGTTCATTTGCTTGTTCATATTAGGAGAATTATTTTTGAACATGGATATGGGTGATTATAACTCTTTAGTTTAAATATCCCATTAATCCTTGTATAAGAAAATTATGTCACGAGTTTTTGTCTCCCGTACCCATTATGCTGCATTTCCTTTTTCTTTGATCACTTATAACTATGTATATAATTTAATTTCTTTTCTTTACTTTTAATTTCATCATTTGCATACTCGTGACACCTTCAAGGAATTATTTTGGCCTTTGCAATTAATGCGATTGGTTCAATTAAACCCTTGAATGAACATTTGTTCCTTTCGATGTTTTTATGAATTTAGATTTGCATCCATGTAGAAAACATTCAAATGTGATAAATTAAGGGTTAAATTAAGAAAATTTTGACTAAACCACGCAACTAGCTTAGACTAGGTTGAAAGGGTGCCTTAGGTTTGAGTTGATTGAACCTTTGCCTTCCCTTTCTTCAACCGTGACTCCCGAACTCATTTTCTCTTGTTTTCAAAGACCTGGAGTTGTCTAAAAGGGTTTTATTTTATTTTATTTTGTTAAAAATATTTTTGGGTGACTTGGTACACCCAAACTCGATACCAAGTGGCGACTCCTAATTTTTCTTCAAAACCCTTTTAGACTAAATTTTGGACCCAAATTGTCGCATTTTTTTTAAGTCCCATTCTTGGTCCTTTTCCGTTTATTATTAATAAATCACATTTTTTATAAACACTTTCTTTTTCCATCGCAAAAAAATGGGGCGCGACAACAATTAAGGGGTTTGTTTTAAAAACATTAGCTATTCAAGATTTCTTATGTGTTTGGATTTTTTTTGCAGGGAACTCAGCAAATATAGTGGACGGAAACCTGAGTGTTCTGAGACAGAGAATTGAGACGGTGAGGATGAAAGAAAAGCTGAAGACATGCTTCAGACATGAAAAGAGCGGTTGGAACTATAAGACTGGATATGATGACACGTACAAGAGACGTGTTTTGTTGGTCCAATCCTTAAAAGTTGCAGCTTTTGTTGGCAGCGCACTTGTCCTTGTCTTCTTCAGTGGCTCTATTTTCATCTTCCTTTACTCTATTCTTATTCAAATTTGTATCCATACTTGAGAAATAGATACTAATTCTTGATGCTAGCTAGTTCTCTCTCTCTCTCTCTCTACATATGTATGTATTTGTTTTCCTGTACATGCTGTTGTGGTTACTAGTTAAAAGGGTTTCAGATCATAAGAAAGCAATTTTAGTTCAAAATTTCAGATCATTAGTGACGTATCATAATTCAGCTACTCAAGTTTCCAAGTGTAGGCAAAGTAAAATTAATCCCATAAAATGATAATGAGAAATCTGCAAGGACACATACATGACCAAAAAGTATATAAAATTATTTGAAACGAGAAATAAATCAATACTTAAATGTATTATTCCATTGTTGATTCAAATTTTAGAGTTGACAGCCAAAGTTTTTATCTATCTTTAGATACCCAACATCCCTTCATTTGCTGGCCTTCACCTTAGCATGCAGATAAAAAAAAAAAGCCATTAGGATTGTTCTCAAAGCCCGTCCTTGATATATATGCTCCATTACCACCAGGATCCTTCATTAGATCATTGTTGCCACCTTTGTTAGTCCCACCACCATTGCTATTGCCACCACCAGCTCCTGCTGCACCTGCTCCAGTTTCTTTGCCGCCACCACCAGCTCGGGCAACTGCTCCAGTTTCTTTGCTGCCACTTTTGTTATCCATCTCAAATGCCCTTCAATCTTAATCGCTAAAAGAATAGTGGTAGTAGTATCGAATATAATAATTCTGATGCTGGTATATACTTTGGCTAGAAGATGAGGGGGATTTATATAGGCATAATTTGATTAGGATGGATTTAATCGCTGCACTTGAAATGATAAATTTTTCTTGTGAATTTAACAGTCAAATGCATGACTGCATGGGGAGACTACTTTGACTACACTGATTTTTTAGCGTATGACATTCAATTCAAGCAATTTGTCCCCAGTTTTCAAGTTATTGGGGTTCATAATGAAACCTCAGAATTATGAACGCCATTCCCTTGAAGTTTTGTGTTGAAATTAGGGAATTTATATATAAGGGAAAAGAATTCTTATTTTCTAGTATCCTTAATATTTTCAAAAGATTTTACTTTGCTCGTTTCGGGTCATAGTCTTCTGTCTTTCAGAATCGTTACAATTTTTAATATGTTTTTCTAGTAGTCTTTTATGGCAGAGGCCCTCCCTCCATAGGACCCAAAAAAAGAATTGGTGCAATTTAATCCTAAATGTTTCTCTTTGAATTTTCAATGAGATCATTTTGCCCAAAAAGGTAAAATATTGTAAAACATCTAATTTAGATTGCCATGGGAAAAAAAAAGTTTCCTATAATGGAAACCTACTGAAAGCAAAATATTGCAGAAGTTCAACGGAGTGTAATCAAGTAATGAATAAATTACACTTGGTGATTAATATGTATCAGAATCTACACGTAGTTTCATTTCCTACAAATTTACTATTGGACCCCAGTATTGAAATTTCTTCGGTGACAAAAGAAAGATAATAGTAATAGATTATTACCAAAGATAATTTGAACACGAATTAAGACATCGTTTTTCATCTTATTTTCTTCCCTTTCCACATGGAAACACAACTAAGCTCAGGTTGCGTATGAAAGTTGCAGTGCAAAGATCTTAAATGCTAGTGGATTCTGTATCCAGATCCATAACAAGTAGCACGGCATCAATCATTGCATCACAATGTAAAGCAAAGTTTCCGGCTTCCTTTTTCTCCCTTTCCTATTTATAAGCACAGCAAAATCTTGTTATTTGATTGAGAAATTTCAAGTGATAAATTTAACTCTCTGAAGTATTTTTCACCAAAGAAAAACCCTTGCTATTTTTGATACTCTAATAATATGCCACTAAACACATAGTGCAAATCTCTTGTACCATACGTTTATTTATTTTAGTAGGAATGGTACAGAAGTAAAAGAAGATTGTTTTCAACCATGCAATACTCACCTTCCTTGGTAAATTCTTGGGATAATTTCAGAAACCTCCTTGAAGTTTTTGACAATTTCACTCAACTCCCCTAAGATTTCAATAATTACATAGACCTCATTTGGTCCAATCAAATGACTAAAATGTCCTCCATAATAGTTAATTTATAAAAGGACACTTAAAATTGAAAAATACTTCTTATTATTTTACTTGTCATTTTCTAATCTCAAAAAATAATCTCCATCAATTTTCTAATTTTCATCTCTTCTTCTCTCCCTCCCTCCCTTCCTCTATCATATTCTTCTCTTTTTTTTCTCCTACAACTGATTCTCCCTCCTACCAAATATCGTGCGTCATTGTTACCAATCATATCACTATCAATTTTTTACCATCTACAAAATTTATCTGTATTTTTTGTTTTCCTGTCTCTTTCTTACTATAAAAATTTTAGACCGTTTCTTTTTTCTTTTTTTCAATAGTTTTACTCTTTACAAATGTTAGCCAATTGAAGTTACCAAATTAACAAGGTGCAGACTATGGATTTTATTGTCAAACTAGAAGAAGATGAAAAAGGGTAGCAGTGATATAGGAAAAAAATGAAATTGTGAGTTGGAACATAAAGAGGTGACTATTATGTTTGTTAATAAAAAAAACTCTAGCAATTACTCATTGGTTCTCTCTTTTATTTACTTATTAATTGTGATTTTACTATAAAGGTAGAATTTTGTCTCTATTTTCTAAGAGTGATAGAGCAATGATGAATTATATTCTTAGGGACATGGGGGCATTTCTTAGTTTAATATTGGTAGTGGTGGTAGTGAGTTGCATTAGGCAAGAATTAGCAAGTAATGAATTTTGAAATGAGATGGAATCGCTGGACTTTATTTGTTTTAGTAAGTATGACACGTACAAGAAATTAAAGATTAAAACCTTGTTTTATTTTGTCTTGTTCTTTGAAGAAGGGTATTTTAGGATATTTGTGAAAAATTACAAGTTATTGGGTCTATATTGTTACATAAACCTTAAAAGTAAGGGAGGTAGGTATAATTTTTAAAATTGGGGGGGAGTTCTTTGTAATTGTTGGAAACCTCAAGGGAGGTTTTTTGAAGGGTTGAAAAGCCTGAGCCTGCAGCATGTGATGCTGGGAAAGCTATGAAGATCTGATGAAAAATTACAAAGTATTGGCACTATGTTAGAACTCTTGGTGGTTTTTTGGTTTATTTTTCACGTTTATTGACTTGGATTTTACTATTAAGATAGTTTCAAGTGTTAATTTTTTGATAATAATGAAACTAATTTAGGAAAATATTTAAATGCAGAGGATAACGAAAGTGAGTGTATGCATACATATGTCAAGTTAGATGCGATTTAGGTTTCTTAACATTATAAATCCTACTAAATTTTGCATATTTCTCTGTTTTTCAAGTGTTAATTTTTTGACAATAATAAAACTAATTCAGGAAAATATTTAAATGCAGAGGATAACAAAAGTGAGTGTATGCATACATATGTCAAGTTAGATGCGATTTAGGTTTCTTAACATTATAAATCCTACTAAATTTTGCATATTTCTCTGTTTTTTTTTTTTTTTTTTAAAGATAAGTTATGCACTTTTGCTATGTTTAGAATATTCTAATTCTTTCCTTCCTAATTTTTTCCCTACATATGTACATATAATTAAATCTTCACAGCTTGACTTCTCTGGTAAAACAATATTAATTTTTCTAAATTTGAGATTAGATTATTATATATTTTGTAACAGCATAGTAACATCTGGAACGGTAGATTGGTGACTGAAAGAGTAATTTGAGCATGTGACTAAGTTGGAAAGGAAAAAAGTTAGTCTTTAAATTTTTTTTTCCTTTTTGTAAATATTGCTATTTTTTCAATATAAATCTTGGTAAATATGTTTACAAATCAAAGGATGTTCAAGCAAAGGAAAATAATGAAGAGTTAACAATTTTACTTCTTTAATTCCAGTGGCATCTATCGTTTCACAGCGTCTCATCAATCTCTTTTAATTGCAACAACTAGGAAAGTTTAATAGTATGTACACAATCTCTCAATTCTCAATCAGAGAAGCCTCATGTATCCATGAAATGGAGGTCCATAAGCTCGACTTGTAACAAAGAAGAAGAAGACGGAAAAAAAAAGGTAGAAGAAGAAGAAGAAATTAGGCACAAATGTAATAATTTTGCATGTGATGCCCAGAAAAACAACTTTCTGCGCCTAAATGTATGGAAAATCTGTATATTTTCCTTCCCATGAAATACTAGTGTCAAACTTAGCATGTTATTTTCTAAGAAATAATTTTTATATTTGTCGTGACCATATTTCTTAATTATTTTTTTATCTCACATACATCAAATTATTACAATATATATATTTTTTAAAAAAACTTCAAAAAATAGCGATCCAAATGGAAACTAAAAGCAAAGCTTTTTAATGTGGACAAATGAAGTTGAAGATCAATTGGAAGCATCCAATATTGCTATATTATCTGAAAAAAGTTGTTACATCAAGTCAAACAAAGGAAGCTGCATTCTCTAATGATCGAGAATTAAGCAACATCCCTTGTATGTCAAGTACAAGACTAGAATTTAGAAACATGAGAAAAAAAGCACATAATTTCTTTCTTAATCCATGACTAATAGACTAATGGTGATGGGCTTGACAATGAGCCCTTACATAATATGACAAATTGGACCCAGCTTTCGGAAGCTCACAATTATTGATACTACAATGATTCATTGTCGTATTAGTTTTTCACATTATGACAATGATGTTTGTTGCTTACACTATTCTCGTTTCGTCTTTTATCTTGTAAATTTCTACCTTTGTTTAAGCCGTTCGATTTCTTGCCCCAAGTTGCCCAACAATGCCATCTAACAAGGTAAGCAACTCCAATGCCCTTAAAACTATTTCTTCTATGACATTAAAAGTTATTTTGGGTGTAATAAAACTCTTACTGGGTATTTTAATTTTTTTTTTCTTTTTTGTATATGCAGAGATTTTTAATTCGGGATGAATCTAAAAAAAAAAAAAGAGCAAAAGTTCTTTCCCAATTTAAAAAATTTTGTCAGCAACTATATTTATCTGACACAAATTAGCCCTTATTGGAAATACTAAACAACGTATATTGAAACAACATTTTGCCAGAGAGAGAGAGAGAGAGAGTGTGTGTGTGTGTGTGTGTTCAATTTTGCTTTTTTTTTTCTTTTTTTTCTTTATGAGAAACTAATAAAGAAGAGAAGACGAAGTGATCTTCAGCTCTGTATGGGTTTTTCTCGCTTTTTGTTACATTTCTTTTTCCATGTCCTCTAAGAAAAAGCTTCTTCTTCTTCAATATAATTAACGTCTTTTTGGGTCCAGGCAGGGGCAGCAAACTGGTAAAGTTTTCCAAGCCAATAAATTTTTTGTCTCCTTTGGTCACAGGGAGTGGTCCAATACCGACCTAATAAACAAATAAAAAGGCCAATTTGGGACTTGTAAGGCAAGATTAGCGGCTGTCATGACAATGATCTTTAACAATGAAAGCTTTAAGACCCCTTTTTTATATTTTTATTAATAATCTGTGCGAATTATTATTTCTCATGAAGCCAAATTTGTGATCTTCTTCAGTTATTCATTTATTTTATTTATTTTGCATTTTTTGAAGAATAATACATGACTCTAAACTCCGTAAACAGTTATATATAGAGCCTGAATATATAACCAAAAGACAAAATCACCTAACAATTGC